GCACAAAGACCAATTACCATATACACAAGAGCCAGGGTCTGCCTTCTTTCACCGTGTTCGCTCGAAAGTGGGCCGAGAATAATAGCTGAAAAGCGGGCTGAGGATCTCAATTTTTACGGCGTGTCTAGCCGCCTCCCGGCGCAAGGGGTTAAAGGGTTAACATACGTATACTTTGACAGGGTTACAATTACACATACATGTACTGGGACATCCAAAAGTTTGTATGTGCTCTTTCTGCTGCGAGTTTTCATATCACCTAATGATTTTAATACATGTGTTGACTGCATCTTTGCTGTTTGTTGAAATGAATCATTTTGTTTGACACCAGGTGGTCAAATGCCTGATCAACCACAGTGCTGACATCAACATGAGCAGCGAGGTCGGACTTTGTCCACTTCATCTGGCCTGCTCCAAGGGGTTCCTCACTGTCGCCAAGTTACTCATAACTGGCAGGAAAAACAACAAGGCTGACGGTAAATAACCTCTCTTCTGAGCTTCATAAATAGTATGCACTGAAGCATTGAAAATCACCAAGTGTCTCGTTTGTGCACTTTGTGTGCACTTCTGGGGATGTTCAATTATCAGTTGGTCACAGACACACGTACGTGTCATCTTTAATTTCACAGGTAGTGCTGCATCACATGGCTTTCTTTTCATCATGCATACGTCGTACTTTCAACAGTTGTAAAGAGCCAGTGGAAAGTACCCAGTGCTGTGGCACATTTTTGTTCAAATTCAAAAGCCACTGCAAGGCATGCACGTACAGTGCTCCGAGGCTACAATTTGGGTCTAAGGTTTACATAGACTCGGACCGAAATAATCTTGTTGTAATTTGCTCAGCACAAAAGATATTCCTGGCAACGATTCGTCTACTGCTGAACAATCCGAACGTCTACTTTATTCACATGCAAAGAAAGTTTTGTGTGACTTTCACACTTATCTCTCAACCTGATTGTATGTAAAATACCCTGCCCATACATGTATGTATGACTCACTGCCCTGGGATAGTCCAGTTTCACTGAATCGTTATGCACTGTAGCTCTTGTTTGTGCACGCTGGGTTTGGATTAATCTCCGTGTAAAATTCCTTTGCTCTTGTTCAAGTTAATGCATATGACAATGAGAAGAACACACCACTACACTACAGTGCAAGGACAGGGCACATCGTTACTCTCAATCACCTTCTTGACCCTGCCTGTGGTGTCAAAGGTCAGGAGGTCAATATATACGGAGACACTGCTCTTCACGTGTAAGTGAAATTCCACAAAGAATTTATCAAAAAAGAGGATTTGCTCTATTAGTTCCAAGGAAGAGAGGTAAAGAATTTAAACACATTTTGCCATGACCAAATATATAATTTCATCTGAGTTATTTCCTATTCCTCAAACAAAATATACTGCAGTCCTGGGTAGTGGAGAGCAAGAATATGTTGAGTGATGAGTTCATTTAAGGTTATTATATACCCGGTATTTATACAAACAGCTGTGATACACATGTGCCCAAGAAATTGGGATACTTGCCAAAAGGAGTTGAATTTAGATTAACTTTCTTTCTCGTGAATTCCGTGACAGCTTCACCGTACACACAATATATCCTTCTTATAAGTGATGTGAGCTGTGAAAGCCTTTCACTTGATCAGCTTTTGTCCTTTTGGTGCATGTCAACTTCCAATTGGTCTGGACACTTTCCTGTTTTCAAAACTGTTTAATTTGTGATTCTAGACAACCTAGCTTCACATTGTGGTCAACCTTGCATTATAAAACAAGAGCATATCCATACTATTCAGGCGTGCTTCTCTGATCTCCTCATTTTTCACTTCACACTCAGGCCATTGAAAATTGAATCACGCTGGACTGAAGTCTTGTAAAGCTTAGAATTTCCCCGGTTTTTTTGTCAAAGTCAAGGTTGGGTACCTTATTAAGTTGAGGTTTTTATGCACCCAAATGACAAAGCTTATCATATGAAGGGTTTCCGCAAATCACTCGCATGGATGTACGCATAAACAAAATCCTGAATAGTGCAACTGTACCATAGGTTTTTTCAGGCTTTAGCCCTTGCATCACCTCATAAACAGTTGAAAAAGAACTTAATCTGTGACACTTCATTGTTTGTTCAGAATGACTGTACTTTTTAGTTCCAAGGTTATATTTGTGTGGTCTGCTGATTGTTTGAGGATGTTCATAGATTTGTTTCACGCTTGCTTTGTGCGCAGTGCTTGCTATCATGGCAGACTTGATGTCACCAAAGAACTTGTCTTGAGATTGGGCCAAGAATGTCTAGCCGTGGAAAACATCTTCAGCGAAACTCCACTTCACAGGTCAGTGATATGCACTTGAGGCAAGGGTGTGTATATAGGATACTTATTGTGAGCAAAGTGATTTGTGCACATATTGGTGCTGTCTTACAAAGTCTAATCATGACCAGAATTAGAGGCCATTACTGCAGTAGCACCACACTCCCATGCAGATGCCATGCCCTTGCTGTTGTGTTACATGTGCACTGTTGTTAATTACAACTGAGTCTTGCGACTTACCAAAGTGCACATAGGCTCAAGTATAATGATGCTCTTGAGTATGGTTCCCACAGAAGTGATGGCATCTCCTTGGATCAGCCTATTTCAGGAGTGAGATTTCTCAGCTTTTCAGCTGATTTCAGCTTTTTTTCCTCACTGGCTGTGTACAAAAGTATAGGAGATTTTCACAGTTCTGCTTCTTTATGCCTTTTTTCAGCTGTTTTCAGCCATTTTTATCATTGGTCAATCTCATCCCTGCTATTTAAACGTGTTCTTTTGATTGCAAAACACTTGTGACTGTCATTTGTCATTGGGTACAGTGCATGCACCTATGGGAAAAATCTGGACATAGTAAGATTCCTTGTGGAACAGCCAGGAGTTGATGTCAACCACCAGGGACGAGACGGCCACACAGGTCAGTTTTTTTTTTCTTCTTTTGGTGTTCCTGATTTTCCAGTTGTGTTGGACAGTCAGTCTGCATATCCTTGACGACCTCTCTCTTTGAAAAAAAATACAAGGCAATTTCGAGCAACAGTTGTAGTTTGATGATTAGTCTATTGCCTCTTAGAGTTTGGAAGCGCAATAAATACTGTCTCACTGGAATGACTTGATGAATGACGTCCCATCAGAGCAGGCCGTGTTTCTTTACACAGTCCAAATCATGTGTACTTTTGCAGTGTGCTTTTATTCCAGAAATTGTGGGGCGGGGAGGGGGGGAGTGTCCATGTACCTTTTCTCAGATGTCATTACAGAGCCCCAGGAGTTTTGATCTGATGATGTCATGCCATTTTGACACCAATTCAGTGTATGGACCAGTACGTTTAAGAGCTTGAACTATAACAGACCATATTAAAAAATCCTTTTCATCAGATTGATATGAATCTGCACAGTGGATACTCAAACTGAATGTTTTTGCACACACGCCAAGTTTCTTAATGACTGGTCATGTGACAGCTAAGATCAGAAAAAAAACCTAATTGAAAGAAACACTACCCCTTTCAGGTTTATTAAAGTTTTCATTATGGAGTTTTGCCCTTACACTGATGTATACTCGGTGCAAATTTATGGCGACATTATTCAACCTGCTATCAAAAATGAGAAATCCGAAGAGAAGTTTTGATCATCTTTTATTCCTGTTCTGGTTGAATAACATTTTGCCATGCTGTTCTTTTATATTCAGCATTGCACAGTGCTTGTTACCATGGTCACATTCAGGTAGTCCAACTGTTACTTGACCATGGAGCAAATGTGGAGTTGGCCTGCAGTGAGGATGTCATCAGCAGCCACGCTCAGAGACAGACTTGCCTCGACTGGGCAGAAAAGGGAGGTAAAAGAAACTGTTTTCTTTGAGAAAACTCTGGAAAGTGGTTGTCCTCACGTTTTCCTCTCGGGTCTTCAGAAGGCATCTATCTTGACCTCAGTTATTCTAATTCAGAATTCTTTTCCTATTGAATTTTTTTTTTGCAGATGAAAATTGCAAATAATTTGAGATTGTTGGCAGGTGGACTTCGCACACCAAGGATTGTATATTCAGTGGGTTGGTGGTGCTTGTTAGCCATAAAGAGCCTTATTGACAGTGCAAAATGGCTAATGCCTGGTTGGCTGGGATGTCATCCCCAATGGGTGTCTTGGTTGTGATTAATTTACGTCTACGCAGTAACATGTAACGCAGTGCCCAGGTGACGTCATCATCAATGCTTATCACTAAAGCCTGCCCCATGTACACCAATGCATTGTGTCAAGCACTCACTAAGAAATGTATTCTGTTTGCCTGGTTTTCAGGGCATGATGGGATAGTGGCTCTTCTCAAGAAAGTGTCCCAGGAGATGCTGCCAAGAAATGGAGAAGACTAGGTGCAAGTCAAAAACTGTTGAAACTTCTCAGGCGTAACCCAGAAGTTGTCATTCCAGAAGAGGTCAACAACCACACATTCGTCAGAATACAGACATTTGAGAAACGAGATTCCGGCCAACTTTGGAGTTTCTATGTCCGTAGGCTTGCATTGAATACACATGCCTGGCAAGGACTTGCGTGTCACGCAAGACCCAGTAATGCTCAGCCAGCACTACAAAACTCATTGCATGATAGGTGCATATCTTGCTGTAGTGGGCTTAGCTGTACAGTGGTCTTTGCCGTTTAGGAGTAGCTGCGCGAACACAGCCCACCGAAGTGCAGCAGTTGGTCCATATGGCTCCTGTATTGGCTCCTGTATTTGGCCTGTGTAGCGTTCGCTCTACCTAGGATGTACGTGCAATTCCAAGATTTCTTCCATCACCATCTAGCACAAAGTATTTATATTTAACATGTTGTTAAAGTACATTGGTATGAAAAACCGATTAAAGTACATTGTTGTCTTAGAATACTGCTGTAACAAGCACCACTCTTCCCTTTTGGTCCTGATAGGTGGGCGTAAAATACTTGCATCACTGAAATCTGACTTTTGGGGGGGAAAAAACAAACTTCATGTCTGAATTTTTGTCTGACATTGGCAAAAGTGTCATTCACTGCTCGTGCATGAAACCGCACATGCACTGAACATGCTGAAGAAAACTTGCTGATGCTCCATGTGTAGCATTTTGTAACCACCATTCGTTCTGGATATCATCTGTTTTGTGCATTTACTTTTATAAGGGAATTAATATGTGCTTGGCTGATTTTAAACATTATTAAAGACAGACCGAGCACATATTAATTCCCATTCATAAATACTAACAGTCAGAGAGTCAAAGGAAACCAATATGTGATTAATTTCCTAGGATTCTGTTCAAGAAATTTACTTTTATTGTCCCAAACACCCCCGTTCATTAGATGGTATATACCTCGTTTAAGTAGTCCTGAAGAATCTCCTTATATGGTCTTGGCTCGTGGGTGGCGAGTCATGTGTGCCACGCAGACTCTTGAACAATGGAATTGCTAAAGCTGTCTTGTATCTAGGTGCCAGCACGTCTTTTATACAGTGGGCATCATGAAATCGCAGTGGGCATTATCCAACGTTAATTCATGTACATGATCACATTGCACGTTGTTGAACAGGGAAACTGTCTGAGGTATTAGGAATGTATTATAACACCTCACCTACAAATTCTGTACCTTGATTGGCTGAGATCTAGTGAGATGGCATTCCTCGTACTTGGTACCTTACTGTGCATAGCCAAAAGTAGAGCGTCCATAGCAAGGAAAGAACTCTACATGTACCTGCAACAACCAAAGTGATATCATGGAAAGCAACCAGTGTTATTTGTGCGTGTTGCCCGTTTCCAAGCACTAGTGCTACAGACCTGGGTTCGGTCATTTTGTAAAGAGCAGTGTTGTAGTCGAGTCACCAATGTCGAGTCTGTGTCATGAAAAATGTGACTTGTGTCCGAGTCCTGGACTTGAGTCATACAACACTGGTTAAAAAAAAATTCAGGAAAATGCTGGCAGTGAATTTTCAGCATATTCCATATTTGAATAGAACATTTTACTGTATTTAATCACTTATCACACAAACAGAATCTGTGGGAGTGGTGTTATAAAACCAAATATTGACGACTTTATCTCAGGATGTAGTAAAGCTAGCCTTTCTCAGTGATCCACATAATATTGTACATTCCCTTGGCTGTGCCTCAAGTAAAAAAGAATTCTCCATGGACCACCTGATGAGGTTTCAGTGCAAATACCATTTTGAAATTTAAATACAAGCAAGGCAGCTGAAAATTGCTGTAACAGATTTTTGCTATCCCAAACAACTTTGTTTCAGCCCCATGGTGTTTGTTATAGCAGGGTTCCATTCTATTACAATGAAGTGACTGTATACGAAGCATTCATAACAGTAATACTTAATCTCATTGCTGTCAGCCACAAACAGTATAGCCTCTTGAAGGTAATATTTTACTAAAAAGTGTAAATTTATACCATGTCTGTCACTAAGGAAAGCAATATCTTATGCTGGACATTAGATAAGCTGTTAACATGTACAGTTAATCCCTAGTTAAATTGATGGAGGAAAGTACCTATTTTGAAATGAGCAAGAATGTCATCCATGTTGGTTCCGCTATTGAACTTTACAATTCGACATAAAAAGAAAGAGTATAGAAAGTGTACATGTGTTCACCTTCACAGTGGAAAGATTGCTTTTTCCTCTCAAAATACATGTACTTGTACTCTGTAGTTTGGAAGGATTGCCACCAGTGTCGGGGGGGGGACTCTAGATATGTAAGGGCTAGCATTCTCAGAAGTTTACATCTGATGTTTAGTTTAATCGTTGCTTACAAGTTGGAACAATCCCACCTTAGATTGAAGAAGCATGCGTCCATCTCAAACAAGTTGGAGTTGCTCCAGTGTCCATCATGCATTAACAACACTTTGTAGTTTATGCTTTGCAATGCAGAACAAAGCAAGTTACAATAAAGCATTATGCTTTAAGAGTGTTTTTGTAAAAGGTGCAGGGTGTAACAATTCCAGAAGCAATACTGAATTATTTAATTGACAGTACTTCAATTCATTTGCACACACCAGTATTATTTATTTGTATATTTTGCATTGTATGTGTTTAAAGTATTTTTTTTAGAAAGAAAAAAAAAAGGTATTAAAAATATCAGGGTCTGTGATGCGAAAGTACTGCGCTGTCCACTTGTAGTACAAAACGTGAATGGTATGTGTTGAATAAGCCTGTTTCTTCAGAATCTCAGTGTAAATCAGTTTTAACCAAAAAAAATAATTTTACATCTGCATTTTTACTCGTTTGGAAACTGCCACTGTCAAGGTGGAATACTTTTAACTTAGGTTGATAAATGTAATGTGTAAAGAGTCCTAGGTGTAACCCAGCTTGCTGCTTCAATCAATTCTTGAGAAACTCTGAAAAACTGAATCATGTTAGTTACATTGGCTCTGTTGCACAGATTTCGACAACAGTATATGTGAATAATTTCTTAACGTCTAGTCTTTGGCAGTAAGTGTGTAAATGATGGCACAGTTATTCTACTGGCGTTACTTTCTACCTCGAGTGCATGTATATACTTCAGCATTGAGACATTCCACTCCACAGTTAATTCAGAACCATGGATAGCTGGTCTGTTTACCCTAATACATGTATGTAATGTCTTGGAGCAGTGGTACGTCCAGGATTGTTGGGAGAGGGGCTTCGTACGGGAAATTATCCAACAAATTATCCACCTCCGCCCGCATTGGCACCACTGGAGAGTGGGACATATGGTTACTTATTACGGTAGTAGCTTCAGATGTCGGTGTGTATTGTATCTTCGTTTTTCAGAAAGTATTAAAAAAAGAAGAAAAAATAGTAAAGGGGGAGGCCCCCCTTGGATGTGCCATTGCTTAGAAGCACAGTGACCCGTTCAACCTGATGAGAAGAAAAATCTCAGAAAATAATTGGCATTCATTTTCACTCGTGAGTGCAGCAGCAAATGGAAATATGGATTATTTTTGCACACTTCTTTAGAAGATCTTTCAGAGTAAAGTTTGGAAATCACAAGTTTCAGTTGTCTAACACAACAAAGTTGGTCTCCTAAGTTAGCTGGAGCCAATCAAATAGAAATTGGATGCTAAACCTGCAAGTTATTGTTTTTGAGTATGTTTTTAGTGACTTTTTACTCATTCAGGTAAGGAATGGTCACAGTTGCCTGCTTTTTAACATTGCCACACATTTATGATATGAACAGCAGTAAAAATGTAACTGTCACTTGTTGCTGTAACATTCTCGCTTGTATGTCAGTGGCTGCCATCTGCTTGTAACAAGTGTATAGTTCAGTTTTTACCAATAATATATAACATACCTCATTGCTTATTGACGGATCTGCCTGTAATGGCCGCTCATTTCTTCTTGCAGTGGATTTCTTGTAATTGTTTCGCGGTATTTCCTTTTAGTGTTGTGTAAATGTAATCAAGTATTGTTGTTGTTGCAATTGCATATATAGTTATCTAATACATGTGTGTACAAATTGGTGTATTTAATCTATATTTCGATGCATTTTCAAAAGACAAGATCGTTCTTATCTTGGCAGAATCGCCGGGTTTGGTTTATAATTATTTTCCACTTTGGCAATTTAAGGAAACAGTGGAACCGACAGCCTAGTACCACTTCTTTTTGAAACCGTAATTTCTCAGCAGCTTAATAAAATTGTGTTTGTTACACGGTGCTGGAAAATAAATGATTCGTTGCAATGAAATCGTACTTTATTTATGTGGTTCCTTGTAATGCTGTGCCGGAGGACCTGACTCGTTGAATGATAATAATGTGCAGTGGATTGTGAACAGTCCATGTGGGATATTTGCAGCGATTTTGGGAAGAATTTTTGTAATTTGAACAACAGAGGGCGTATTCAGTAATCTCTCATCATGGCGGCGAACTTGAATCCTCCGTCACATTTTGCCCAGCCACTTGTTGAGCCTGAAATGAGGGGTTTGTGCCCATTGTTTTCAATAGATTTAATTTGGGTCTTTTGCCCGTTCAGATTGAAAGCCAATGTTTTGTTAAGAGTGCTAAAAAAGGCACTGGTACATGTAAGCAGTGACGGTAGGCCCAGCTAGGATTTTAATAGTACTACGTGTACAAACTACTACTACTAGGCCTACCGTCAGGACCGTGGGATGGGGGGGGGGGACACAAGGGGGGCACCAGCATGTTATGGGGGTCACCAGCTTTCAGTGGTGTGTTTTTTGGGGGCAAGCTTTGTTGTTAACCTTTTTCAATATCCATTCATCTGTTTTTTTCTTCGTAGGGCCGGGGGGGGGAGGCACCTGGCATGCCTGGGGGCACTGGGATTTGTGGGGGGGGGGGACATGCCCCTGGCCCCCACCCCCAAGGCCATGCCACTGCTGATAATTTGATATGAACCATTAAAAATAGCAGGCAAAGTTCCTGGACAACTCTTCCGTTGGGACAACTCGACCATTCAGACAAGTCATCAGCCAAGACAAGTCAACTTTGACCCAGAGACAATTCAAGTACATGGCAAGCATGCGCGGATGTTAAGCTGTAACTTACATGTAACACCATGGATCTCCATGATCTCCATTATAACTATAGGCTAAGTATAGGCCCCCTAACTAATGGCAAATGGAGATCAATGCTTAGCACAAACTGCAGTGAATGTTATTGAGCAAAATTTGTGTACATTTCACGTACAGGATTTAAGGCACAGCACACAGGTTTGCGGCTAGTGGCAGCGGATGGTCAGATGGTGCATGCATGGCGTGGTAAAGCAAAAACGGTGGCTGGCTGCATACATGTACCACAATGCGATAGATTACCGGTGCTGACTTGGACTGTGATTTCAATCAAATTTTATTAAGGTTATTGTGTCTGGGCCCGGGAAATTTATTTAATAGCTAGACGCACCCACATAAACAAGTTGACTTGTCATCTCAATGGACGACTTGTCTAGACAGCTGAGTTTTTTTCAGTTTGACGCACAGACCTATCGTCGAGTTGTCCTGAGTTGAGTACATGTACAGGTACATGTAGTTCAGTAATGGACAAAAAAAATGCAGTGTCAGTCATTGAAGGTGTCTAAAACTGGGGATTGTAAATTTGGGGACCCTGTTCCAATAATAGAAGAGAGAGCTACATTTTAACTTTTGAATTCACCTTGGTACAATGTATATGACTGAGACATCATGCTCAATAACTGTAGGGTTTACCCTCCTTTGGTTTTACAGCACAAATATGCACAAGTGCCCTAGGTCACTCTCTTGCATGTTAGTGCAGTGCACAACACGACAAAAAAGGGCAGATTTTTTAGTTTTGAGGGAAATTACATGTATAAGAGGAAACTGTGAGTGTCTTAACAGATGCTACATGGTGGATTCAAATTTGCATGACTTGTTTATTAGTAAGAATGTCACATTTTTTCACAAGTTACAATTCGAAATTTCAAAACAATAGAGTCAGGACAAAAAAGAGATTCTTGCCTTTGTTCTCTGGAGGAACTTACCCTTTTGGAAGATTAAAATGACAAAAAAAAACTTGGGGGGTCCCAAAGTATACAATCCCCCTAAAACTAACGTTAGGCCTATTAAGTTACACAATTAACGTCAGGGCCTAGCCTACATGTACATGTACATGTAGGCCTACCATTTGTAGCAGCACCCGACGCGTGTGGCTCAGCTATGTATTTTTGATTTACACCATAGCCTAGGGCTCTTTGTTCTGGTGGTGCTAATTCGCAGTTGAAAAGAGACCAATGTTGACTGAACCAGTCAGCATGGTCAGGAGACTTGCCTTGCTGTATCCATGGCTGCATACATGCTGCATTGCTGGGCAAACATTTGCCATGGCTACACATGCAAGCACATTTGATGATGAATGCATACATGTTTATGATGTTTGCTTCTACATGAATGTGGGACCGCATTGGAAATAAGTTTTCTAAACTTTTTTAGCGTTATCCCTACTTTTCCCAGTGACTTTTTTTGGGTGTAAGAGTTCCATTTCACTAATTTCCCCCTTTAAGGGTTTTATTAGTCATCCGAGAGTCATGAAATGGCCTTAAAAGTCAAATTAAATATGAAAATAATGAAGCATGCACTTACAAAACAGTATTTTTCAGACCAGTCTCATAGGGTCTGTGCACAGGGTGTCAACTGATGTCCGGATGAGGAACTCTTTCCAAGGGGATGAATCAAATCAAGATAAATGACTGTACTACATGTATCTCAGTTTCCCAATCCTTCATTTTTTTATGAGTTTACCTCCAACATTTCAAAGTACTAACATTCAAAATTTCAGCCTCAGACAACAAAGTTCAGGCCTAAGCCTTTGAAACTCAAAGTTGTGCAGCCATTTTTTCCCCCTTGGTACGGTATGTGACCTCAGTTACATGTACCAGACCGTTGCCCCCAAAAGGATGATGGCTGGTTCATATCAAGAAATTGTCCAGTTCAGAGTCCCTCCTGCCAACACACCACACTGTGTCCTCTTCCTGGTCTGCTGCCATCATGCACTGAACATGTACATGTACATTGTACATCCCCTACATGTACATCAGCCTTCAGTTGACAATGGTAAACAGTGACGTGCAAATTTTACACGTTCACACTGTTAATGCCAATTCGAAATCAGGCATTATACACTTACAGTGTACACTTTGTGAAACTGTTTCTACAGAGTAATGTTATGTAGAAATTAAAGTGAACAGAACTGAACTGAACAATACATGTATGTCATGTACATACATGTACATGTACATATGCAGAGGCCATTTCTACATGTACATGTACACATGGAGAGGCCATTTCTACATGTACGTGTACCTGTAACTGTGTTTGTCATGGAACTGGATTTAGTTTCTCCTGACTGTTGAGTTGATTATTTTCCTTTTGGAGTGTTACAAAGAAGAAGATGCTCATTTCTTAACATCTCAGCGGTTATGTGCCAGATCTTGTACTAATTAATGACACAGTACATGTAGCTTGCCTGTAAAAGCAGCCTTCTGAATGTTACCACAACATGCTGTGTTTGATAACGGCAACTTGCGCCGACAACCAGGTGTCTTTCTCACAAGGAAGAGCTGGCTTAGAGATTTTAAATATGGCACTTTGGAGGCTGGGTTAGGAAGGGGACACAGCTAATTTTAAGGACCCATGAACACCACCTCTCACCATTTCCTGAATTCGTTCAACTTATGCAAACCCTTTTTTTGCGGGTCATTCTTCCTTCACAGCTGAAGGTACTCGCCTGCTTCCTCCCTCGTCCTTCCAGAGGAGGGATGTACCTGATCCCTGGCAAGCCTTGGCCCACGCCAGAAACAGGCTTGATGAACTCCAGCAAGAAAATGAAATGCTTCGGTAATTTTGTTAGTGGGTCTTTCTGCAACTTTGGGGTCAAAAGGTATAACATTTTGGGGGAGGTCCTTGTTATACGAGACCTGTGGAATTTGAAAAGGAAAATATTAATTTGACTTCCAGCCAAATTTGTTTGGCAGATAATTTGCATCACTTAGTCACTGTCTGAAGTAAAAAAAAAAGGGTTGTAAACTTACAAATTTATATTTCAGTTGTGACAAGCACACAAAAGTAGTAAAATGACCCCATTGTTTTATTACTTTGAGTTAAAAGACATGTACCAAATTGCAGACTTAACTGTTAATGTAGAGAAGTAAAGAAGTTCATAACTTGTTTGTATTAACAGACTTGTAATTTTAGACTTGGGTGTATTTTTGAGATTTAACACCCCTGAAAAATTGCATTTCCACTGCTGCTTCTTTGGCAGAAATACAAAACCACGGGAGAAGACCGTTTCCAAGGAGCAGCAGACGTGCGATCATGTAAGTTTCAGTAAAGATTCAGGCTGCCTGAGTGATCACTGAAAGCAACCGTTGTCCTCTACACAAGCCTTTGCTGTTCACTCATGATGACCTAGTGTTGTTTATCGATATAGTGTTTTCTGTTTACATGTACATACATGTACAACCTGTGCTTTCTTTAAGAAGAAGAAGTTTGTACACTCACGCAGGCCAACACATCTTCCAGTTGTGACCCAACCTAATATAATGCGTCCAAAGTTCCTGGTGGCCATTTTTTGTGTTGTAGGCTTGTAAAGATTCTTGCAAAATTGAAAGCAGTTTGGAATCGTCAACATAATATTTCACCCACATACATGTACATGTACTTGTACATACCTTTAATTTAATGTCCATTTTGCAGCAAGATTCCAAAGTGAGTGATGTATGGAAAGAAAGAGCTTGGATTGCTTTATGCAAACGAAATGAAGTCACTGACAAAAATTGCCTTTAGGCGCGTTTTGTATGGGATCCAGTCACATTTTTGGTTACTGTGAACAAGAGTGGATTTTACAAAGAAACAGTCTTCCTTGTTTGGCGGACCACGTGCACACACAGGTTTGCAAAGTCTGGCATGGATTACCCGCCAGAAATTGTATGAATCCGCAGTGTACACTATGAATATAAATAAAATTCCAATAAAATTTCAATGTTGCTCCAGCCTTTCCATCCTGTCACCGTAAAGCAGTGTTTATGCATGGAGCAAGTTACTGTACTGGCCTTGTACGTAATCTGACCCTGCAAATAGGGACTTTCCTCATAATTACAACATGAGAAATGGTTCACAACTCATAGACCTGCCATTAGTCAGTTAACCTCAATTTAAGGACACTGTTATTACTCTTTTGGCAATAAACTTGGTCCTCTAACCTTTGGAAAAGCCAATAAAAGTCTGGTTTGGATTCCGTTCATCAAATAGGAGACAAAATGGACAACCAGCCATTATAATTAATTTATAAATAAACATGGTACATGTATATTCAGTTGATATTTCTAAGAAATCCTCCTGTTACTGGTAACAAGCTCTGTTTTTCTTGTCTCAAAAGTTTTACACCCACCACAAAATTCATACTGAATGTAAAGTATTGCTTTAGGAAGTTGGGAAATGTTGAAACTGTCCTATCTTAAAAGTCAATATTGCATTTATTCTTTATTGAATTGCAGGGCTATAGTAGGAGTCCATGTGAACTTTTCCTTACGTATTGTATTCTCAGCCTTGCATGGCAGTATCAAGACCAATTCCAGAGCCCCCTCTACCACCGTCCCCCCTCCCCACCCACCAGTTCTTCCACCTTCAGCACACGGCCGACATCCTGAGCAAGCAGGCCACTGAGCTGGCCCAGGTTAGGTCAGAGGTCATGACCTTGAGGTCACAGCGCCAGAAGGAGGTCGGCGAGCTGGAGGAGAGACTGAGAGAAGTGGAGGTCAAGTACACGACGGAGACTGCGTCACTCATGGCCACAAAGAAATGCCAGGAGGAAGAACTCAGAGCGCAGGTAGACCTACATCAACCGGATCAATTAATCAATTGAGCCTGACTCATCTACATGTACATTGTACCCGTAGGATTTGGTTGAACCAGTTCAAGTCTGAGAACCTGTAAACGCAATTTGACGGTGTACATCAAGTATGTGTATATTAATGGCACTGGGTGGTTAAACTGTCAATTTGCATGTACCTGGTCTCTGATGACAGACGTGTATGACAGACATGTACATAGGCATCTCGCACACAGTGTTTGGCAAGTCCGTGAAGGCAGACTGTTTGTTGTACATGGCTTGAGCAGCTGTGCTTGGCTGGTGGTTGTTACAAATCTTGTTCCACTGCAGGGGTGAAAATGTTGCAGAAGATGATTTTTTTGTATAAACATTTAACAAAATGACTCTAATCAAGAATCAATATTTGTAGCATTTTTGGCTTGATGTTTAATATTGGCAAATACATGTACATGTTTGCAGTTTGCCTGGAGAAATTTCAAACAGCAGTGAACAAGCCAAATCACTTGGTCCGTAGGGTCGTCAGAATGTTAGAAGTCAAGGGCGGATCAAGGAACTAAAATGTTGGGGGGGGTTACATGTCGATACTTATCAACATAAATGTGCTGCAGTATTACCCCAATAAAAGTTGACAGCTGAGTCCTTTTATCATGATACAGTTAAAAGTCATTGGCTTTGCCTTGAATTGTCGGTCATGTGGCCTTTCCGCAGGAATTGTTTTAACAGGGCACACGAGATCTTTCCTTTACAATCCGCCACAAGCAGAAGTTCCTCCTCATCGGTTGAAAAGAGCCATATTGGTCGGGAGGGTTCATTTTGTTGGATGCAATGCGACTGTAATGTGTGCACTTCATCGTCGTTCGGCAAAGTTTAGTTCTGACCAAAGGAGCCTTCGTTACTAAGAAAATTGTGCCCTCTCTTGGTCCAGCTTGAGGCTTACTGACAGTTTTTGGTCTCACTTGTTAATTTCTCCAGATGAGCATACTGAAGACAAAGCACGATTCAGAGGTGACATCCAAGCAGGACACGATCAAGAGCCTGAATGAGGAGTTAATGAGAACTCAGACACTGTACAAGCAGGAAGTGAGTCAACTGAGGGAGAAGTTACTCACAAGTCAGGCAGAGAGTGAGAGGATCAGAAATGAACTCGTTAACAGCAACAGGTACCGCACCTTGTCTTTGGCAAGATGCTTTTTGAATTTTGTTGTGTGAGTTTCGAGTTTTTAGTGAGTCACACTTCAAGTAAGTCAAGCCAAAGTCAAGCCTAAGAGAGTGACTCTGGAAGATACATGTACGTGTTTATCTTGATCTATGACATATTTTGGATCTATTCAGTCTGCTGTAGTTGTAATGCAGCATTACTGTACCATTAATATACATGTACTTGTACATGCTATGCCACATATTCAATGTTGATTACCAGCTGAAATAGTGGTGTTTGTCGTCATGGCATCCTGCATTTCTTTCTCCTTTTGATTGTGCAACAGAGAGAAGAACCTGACTATTGAGTCATTGCAGAGTCAGGTTAGCAAGCTCAAGACGTATATCGGCGACGCTCAGACAACGAGCAGGAGCACGGCTCATTGGCAGGTGGAGAGAGACCAACTACTCAAGAAGATCAAAGTGAGTATTTCCATTCCACACTCTGCAGATAGCTGGAACAGGCTTCTGCAAAAGCTCACAAGCACAGAGTACACAATATTTATGAATAAACATCGGTGTAAGAGCAAAACCTAATTGAAATTAGCATCCTCCTGATGCAAAGTACATCTTAAAATAGTGGTACCTGCTGCTCCACCTGACTCGAACCGGCCAGCTGACCCTGGCAAGCTCGGTGGTTGAGTGGTTAAGACGTCTGCACTTGTAAGCAGGAGGTAATGGATTCGAGTCCCACCCGAGTAACCGTGTGAATTTTTCACAAGCTCTCATACAAGCATTGAGTATCCAGTTATTGTGAATATACATCAGTGTAATGGAAAAACCTGTAATTAAAATTAACATCCCAGCTGCAAAGTACATGTACGTCTTGAAGGGAAATTTGAAAAGAATAGTTATACAATCTCAGTTTTAATTCTAGACCCAAGATATCTGAAGTACATGTACATGGAACTTTTAGAAATATCCATGAACATTTTATTTTGTTTTGTGAAAAATAACTTGAAAAGAATGGATGTTTTTTATTAATCTTGTCGGGGCTATGGTTACTCATACAATTCCATGGCAGGACTTGGAGAAGGATTTGGATAACCAGCACTCTGCTGTACAGTTGCTTAACGTGCGCTTGTCATCAACCAATGAGATCCTAGGGATACAAGAAGCCGAGCTATCAAGGGTAAGAGAGTTGTGACTCCTTCAATTCCTACTTTCCCAGAAATTCATGTTTCATAAAGTCCTCATTTCAAACCATTTGATGATTGTGGACACGAAGGTAATAATAATAATATGGAAATATTTATATAACGCAGATACTACACATATACTCAACTGTACTCGACAATACTAATCACTAGCTGAGTTGTAAATTTAGTATAGCTTAGAGAAGCTTAGAGGTATAGCTTAGAGAAGCTTAGAGGTATAGCTTAAAGAAGCTAAGAGGTATAGCTTAGAGAAGCTTAGAGGTATAGCTTAGAGAAGCTTAGAGGTATAGCTTAGAGAAGCTTAGAGGTATAGCTTAGAGAGGCTTAGAGGTATAGCTTAGAGAAGCTTAGAGGTATAGCTTAAGACGCTTAGAGGTATAGCTTGGAGAAGCTTAGAGGTATAGCTCAGAGAAGCTTAGAGGTATAGCTCAGAGAAGCTTAGAGGTATAGCTTGGAAAAGCTTAGAGGTATAGCTGAGAGAAGCTTATAGGTATAGCTCAGAGAAGCTTAGAGGTATAGCTCAGAGAAGCTTATAGGTATAGCTTAGAGGTATAGCTTGGAAAAGCTTAGAGGTACAGTGTTTGCAATGTGAAAAGTTAGTTCCACTAGTGAATAGGAGCTTCATTAATAAGGGAATAAATATGTGCGTGTCTGGTCTTAAACATGCGTTTAAGACTGGCTCAGGAGACCGGACGTGACTTTGCCGCTCGGGTCTTATCAGCATTCATTCTCCTGAGCTGGTCTTAAAGGTTAATGTAAAGACAGACTAAGCATATATTTAATCCCATTGTAAGTACCAATAGTCAGAGATTCAAAGGAAATCTATATACCATAAATTCCCAAAGAGTTTGTTCAAGAATTTTACTTTCATGTCCCCAAACACCCCCGTCTATTCGATGGTATATTCTGTGTGCAAGTAGTCTAGGTGAATCCTCTTATATGGACTTGGTGCGTGCGTAGCGAGCTGCGTGCACACAGACTCTTGACTAAATGGAATCAATTAAACTATCTTGTATCCAGGTGCTTTATGCAGCGGGCATTATCACAACGCAGGGGCATTATCAAATGTTAATACACGATCACGTTGCACGTGGTTGAACAGGAAAAGTATGTGAGGTATTTATGAATATGTTTTGATGAATGTTACATGTGGGAAGTTTTTGTTCTGGATTTAATGCATTTGCACTCTTCAGTCTCATGTTAAAGTGCTTAATTTGTTTACCAAGGTCAAGGGTGAAAGTGTGGACAGTGGGAAGAAACTGCAGTTGCTACTCACAAGGTAAAGTTTCAATTTGTGGATCTCGTTTTAATAATAAGAATTGATAATCATCCCCAGATAGGTTGATTGACAGGTCTTTCCATGCAAGGGATGAGAAAGTTTGGCCATTTCTAATGTTTTGAGAATGAATGATTTATTCACTTTATCACTGCATGGAAAATCAAGATGAAAATTGGACAACCTCTAGTAATTAATCAAGAAATTAGAGTATCCTGTTGTAGTTTGATTCCATGATGCAAACTTTCCTCCTGGGTTGTCCCAGGATAGGCCGTCTTCAGAATTTATCTTTAACCACATGCTGCCGGGTGGTTTGAAAAATGCAGCGCACACATACGGGCGAATTTCAAGATTTTCAGTTTTCAAAAATCGTCAGAAATTCAGCATATCAATTAATGAACGTTTACACCTACATGAATTACTGTTTGGTGGCCACTTTAGTCTGAGAGACAAAATCTGTTGACGCCCGTGTATTTCAGCCAGGCCTTCAGCCTTGTAAAAAGAGCCCAGATGGTGCGGTGTTATATAACTTTCTTTTGTTCACGAATCTAGCACAGTGCACTGCTGACCTCTTTTCGATAGGGGTCAGATTAGTGTGCAGCTGTGCTGTGTGGCGCATCGGTGCAGTGGTGGAGGGCTTTTGTTCCCGGTGGTAATCTGCTGGCACAAAATGCCCAAACTCGTGGTATACCGTTTCAAAACAAGGTTGGATTATCTCCACTATTGAGAGTGAAAAAAGTTGTTAATGCCCAGCAGCTCAGTCTTTTGTGACAAGACCCAGCTCTTTTGTCCCGGTTTCGGGCTCCCAGGTTCGTGTTTAAAGCCTATGTGCTCAAAAACGGGTCCCCCGGCAGCAAGTGGTTAAGCATGGATGCCGGGAAAAGTCCTTTTAAATTTTCATTTGATTGTTATCATTCCTTGATGTCAGGTGGCGGGAGAAAGTGTTTGAGCTCCTCGTCCAGCTGAAATCACAAGAGATTGTTGGAAGAAACGTCAGGAGAGACCACAAGTGGCAGGTATGGCCAGACCCAGGCAGACAGTAATAGGGCCCAATCAGAAGACCTCCAAGTACCATGTGGCCACATGGTTTCCCCGATATCCACCACCGTTAAGGTAGGCAAGTGTTTCCTAAGCAGCTGTGCGTCCAACGTTGTAAACCAAATAATCAGGTTTATTTCCACTCAAATTAGCCAGAAGTCCTCGTCAAATGGCATAAGGATCACTACTTGTGCTGTGTACGGTTGCTGTTATGGCGATCCATCACTGGGTGCTGGCTCTGCCTTTTTCTTATGCCTTGTGCCATTTATCACATGCTTTGTAGGCACAACCTAACTACTATGGACAGCACCTCAGTGTCTGTCCACAACAGTGATGGATAGGTCACATGGTTCAGCAATAACACTCTCTCAAGTCAGAGTTTCAATTGACCAGTTTTAAATGCTCTTGCTGACGAACATGCCGAAACTCTCGCAGTGACGGAAGCAAGCATACTTTAGTAGACCCACCTGACTGCGGGATTGCTTTGCACTCTCAAGGGGTACTCCAGTAATGCTGGATGCTTTTGTGTAAAATGCCTGCTGCGGTATACTGAACAGTAAGTGGTATGCCTCAACCATGACTGGGCGCCCTCGTGGGTGTGCAGGTAGGTCTGTTGCACCCCACTGAGACTTAAATTCTGGACTGACTAGCTGCTGTGGCCAGTAGATTTTTATGGATGTACAAAGCGATGTAATGATAATACGGCTGTCATTTGTTAAAAGCGTATTGACCAAATTTTGACCATTTGTTACTGTTTGACTCGGACTGCATAGAGGACTATTTCTCTTGATCTTTGGGGTGGAGAGATTGTGCCACCAAAATGGCATCACTACAGTACACACACCTCATCAGTCTATCCCAGCAAAGGATGTCTCAGTGTTTCAAAAGTATACAAAAATCAAATATGAAAACTGTGAAAGAAATATTAGAAAACTGTAATTTTTTTTTTCTCAAGTATGTTACGAAAACTCAGTTATGATAACTGAAAGAGTAACATGCTACCAATAAGTGCTAGTGATAAACATCACCAGCAGCTGTTGTTGCTTGAACTGGTTGCATGTGAAGCAGAACAGGGAAAGTACCATTGTATCTGCTCTTGAGCTGAATATTGGTCAACGTCACCCCCGGCGTGCTACCGTGCTTCCGGGCAGAACTGATGCTCATCTTCTGTGTCGTTGTTTCTGAAGGTAGCGGAGTTTGAAGAGAAGATGACTAGTCTGGAGAATAAATGCCACCTGTTGGAACATTCCATTGCGGACAGGGAAGCTCAGCTTCAACTTGAGAGGGGACAGAGTCAGGTGATCCAATTGGGACATGTTGTCGGTTTATACTTGTCACAACTTTAACTAACTGTTCAAGTCGGTTCACAATCATATGGGATGAATGTATCTTTGGGGAACTTGCCAGGAATGCAATACCCAGTCATGTGAATGGGGCAGTGTAGATGTACAATGTACATCATAGATGAACTATAGACAGAAGGTTGCTAACATCCTTGATTACTATAGGATGTAGAACCATTCTCGGTTTCATATGTGACAAAAAATTGGGAAGTCGTATGATTGATAACCTTTCTTGGCTTCTGAAAATGGCCTGTGTATATTTCCATTATGCCATTAATATCAATCTACTGACCCCGTTTAAAATTGTTAGTTTTTTTCTTCTTAGCTTTCCCGCTTTGGGCTTGGGGTCAAGTCAAGGTCGGTTACGTGTGTGGCATCAGACAGAAGCAGGTTTTATACCAAAAGTTATTATTTAAAAACTCAGTAGATTAATATTAATGGTATAATGGAAATATACATGTACATGGGCCATTTTCAGAGGCAAAGGAAGAATGTCAACAGGCTTTCCCACTTTATTATCAAACATTTGTGACCGAGAATGGCCTGGTATCATTTAGTCAAGTGCTGCCTTTGAGAAGTTGATCTCATTGAGGAGCTTGCAAACTGTTATCTGAATGCAATCGCGTCATTACCCTCACTTTGCAGTAGTTGTCTAGAGCCCTCAGTGGGTGTTACACAGGGCCACATGACTTTCTTCAAAAATTTTAACCTAGAAAGTCTCAGTGGGAGTATAGGTAATGTTCTAAAGTTTACCCTTTGAATGTCAGTTCTCCCTATAATGTGTCCTTTTGCCTGGGCTCTCAAGGCCAGATTGAATTACATTTCTATGCTCTCTGTGGTCCTAGTTTTGACTAACAAATGAAGTGAGTTACTTGTTTGTCTGCTTGTATAGAGTCTCCAAGATGAGTTGGCATCAGTGCAACAGGTTGCTGAGCTCCTAGATGCTAAGCTGAAAGACTATGAGGAGACTGTGCCCCAACTCACGTCTCTGCTGCAAAGGTAGTGCTTAAGACTGTTTTGTGTTTTCAATGTGTCATGTCAATTCTGTTGGTCGCCCATTTGGTAATACACAATTTGGTGTACGTCAAGATTTGACAATATTCATGAACATAGAACCATGTTGGACAAATGTACTTTATTCTCTGGTGTAGTGTCCATCTACACGTAGTCTTGATGTACAGTTCAGTCTTTCATGCAATCCAGCAGAAGATGAAATGACTCATTATTTCATCAGCACTGCCTTAGTGTTGCTTGCCGGCTTCCATGTTTATTTCTCTTGTGTCATATGTTTAGGAAGCAAGGTGTTCCACGGTGCAAATAGTAAACTAATGTGTACAGTGCAATTCATGCACATAGGCAACTGGGATTTTACATATTGGTTGGTAGGTTTGCTGTGAGGCAAATTTGATAGCCCAAAATGCCCACACATTTTAATGTGTGACTTATCTAAATGCCACAATTTTAGGCCTTGATGGGCCTTGACTGCAAAAATCCCAAAGCCCTAATCCTCATGGCTAAGGCCAAGGTTTTGCCAACAAACTTTACGGTTAAGGTTCAAAAATCCAGCCTTTAGGTAAAGAATGAGCATCAAGGTGCTTCATCGCAGACGGAATCTAGACTTGAGGGGTAGGGTTCCAAGACTCTCCCAGCACTAGGCCAGCCCAGAGTGCCATTTAGAAATACATGTATAATTGACGTACAGCTGGAAAGTGTTGTTTGACTATTTTGTCAGCTTTCGGCAGAGGCACGCTGGAACCGAAGAGAAGCTTTGCAGCCTGACTGCCAGGTTGGGGTCTTTTGATCAGAGAATCAGCTTCGCCGTCGGCCGCATCGAAATCCTCAAAGGTATGTGGCATCCTCATCCTACAGTCCTCTACTGAGTACACTTGAGGGCGTATACAAACCCTTTTCATGCCAACAGGATTCAACAGGTGTACGAATATGTAAGATTTGAGTCGACAATAGAAGCAGTACTTTGGGCCGGTTCAGTATTCCAACAGTGCTGTGTAGAATAAAATGCACTCTACATGTTAGGTCAACTGAAAACATAAATATGGAAGGATGAGAGTGGCCCAATCAGCACAGCTGTACATCAACTCTCTAACGCTTGAGCTGGTGCAAACCCTGGTGCAGTGTTCTCAAACAACCTGACATGTTGAAATATACTTGTCTTCCGTGCTGAGAGAGTGGGTACTAGGTCCACTGTTCCGATGCTGTAAATTTTATGAGGTCCTGGCTCTGCAGTTCACTTGTGTTTGACACGGTTCCCTGATTTTTGACACCTGATTTTCAAGAATATGGATATTCAAAAAAGCTGTCAAATACAAGGATGTGTACAACATCGGTGATTTCAGTGTGAAGTGTTGTGAATCCGTCAGGACTGGTTGCCAGGAAGGAAGCACTATGGAGACTCGGGGAGAAAGAGACTCCAAGCACTAATCAGGAGCCGACTCCAGATGAGAAGGAGCAGGTCGTTGAAAGGTTAGACAAGGAAATGACTTGAAACCTCGCCTGCCAGATTGTAACAAATTATTCACCTGATCCTGGGAATAGTTTGTGGATGCTATTATCATAGAGGGTTTTGATTTTGACAGAGAATATGTCGTGACATCTGCAACCAACCAGTAGGTTGTTGATGTTTTCTGTCACTTAACATTCATAGGTACCATTACCTTGTGAATGTCATTTGGGAAAAGCAGTTTGTAAAGGCCATCATTTGCCATTAACTTACACGTTGATAGTCCCCGTATATTTGTCAGAGAAGTGACCTCCAACAGTTAAGGTCATGTGGATTGTGTATTTCACAAATCCCTTTTCTGTGAAGGTTACATGGCTGAGCCAATTGCCTTTTGTTATTGAACTCTCCAGATCGTCCTTGGATCAGCTGAGGACGGAGTTGGAGCGGGTGACGCATGAGCGCGATGCCCTGGCAGCCAGGATCAAGCAGGACTCTGAAGCCATGCAGGAGCAATACAACAAAGTCACAGCAAAATGTAAGACAACTTGCAGGGTGCCAGTTCCGTCAGTCCCAACATCACATAGCCAGATCTGTGTTGGCGTGACTCTGTTTCAATGGAGCACTCAGCAGGCAGCTTGATGTATTTTTTGGGGTCAGATTGCTGTCTTGCTTGTCTTTGTTAGTTTCGGAGTAGGGTGAGAAGAAACAGTGCAATTTGGTTGAAGTTGAGAGGAGACAGGGGTTTTTGTCCTCGACTGAGAAAGCCAAATAATAGTCACTGTAGACAATAGGACTGTTTGATTACTCCGTCCTGTGGCATGATGGCTTACACCAATATGTATTGCTTTCATGTCGTTACCCCCAGTTGAATCCAGACACGAGAGGGATGCTGCAAGACTGCAGGATTTGGAATTGAAGCTTCAGCACCAGTTAAAGGTCAGTTGTAACTGTGTTAGTCTTATCTCAAGACAGTTTTGCAATGCATCAGGCTTTCATCATGTGAAACCCCTATGACCAAAAGCTGCCTGAAAACTACAAAATGGAGTAAAAACAATACCCGTGGTATTATATAATGATACATAATGGTACATATAAATTTCATTCCAAAAGGGTAGATTTCTTTTTGAGGAAACAAATTTTTTTAAGAATTTCAATCCCATTTATAGATTTAACTCTAACCCTCCTCAATCCTTCACCTGTTGGAGGACTGAGGAGTGTTAGGGTTAATAATAACAGATAGCATAGCGTTCTTCTCTGAACCTTGTGTATTCGATGGAACTCCGGAATTTTATTTCGACATTTCCCTGTGTCATTGTGGCAGGATCTCAAGAGTGTGTCCGGCAGGCTAGACCAGGCAGAGTCTGAGTGCAAGGAATACCAGAGGACCATTGGCCGGCTGAAGACAGAGCTGGCCAAGTCACAGCTGTCAGCTGACAGAGGTTAGTCTGTCTGGGGCCAATACGATGTAGGAGTATCATTCTACATTAAACCGGTTTCCCCAACGAGCAGTATTATTTTGGCTAAAATACTTACTGCTTAGTATCTAAAGATGACCTCTTTAAGGTGGTTTTACAGAATTTACAGAAATGTTTCAACACTGGCAATGCATGTGTGGGATACTGCTTCACATGAACATCATAACATAATAACATGGGTGTGGTACGGCTGTGCACTAGTTACTGGTTAACAACTGTGATTTTATCGTGGTCTTGATAGGGTTCAGCCCAATTAATTGAAGGAAGCCTGATTGAATATTGTCAAATACAGCGCACCTCATACGTACATGCCACGCTATTGTTGCAGCTATTTTTTTTATCAAAATATTTTGCATTTCAGAGCAAACAAATTGTGCGCAATAAAAGGTTTAATCTGCAATATAGCACACCTCAGTTGACATCTTGCATGTATTATCTTTTGTCCTTTCTGTTTTATGTTTATATGACAAGCACAGATGCATTTTAACCTTGTGGATTCACTAGTTATTCACACAGGCAGAAATTTCAATATGCAGAAGACAAACTGGCAATGAAAGTCAGTCTGTTGTCATAATTTGCACATGAGAATGGTCTCTCTGCACCTTGGTAGCTTTGTTGAGGTGCAGTGCATTTCAAATTTATCTGACTGGTATTGTTATTCATAAAATGGTGCATGCATTTATCACCGCCAGCCTCTGCTGATAAGATGGCAGCCATGGAGACCCAGTTGACCAATCAGCTTGCAGAGATGGAGAAACGACTGAATGATGCGAGACGCGAACAGGCCAAAGCTGGTATGTCCTTGGGTAAAAACTTTTCATCAGAAAACTACTGCACAAAGCTTTTAGCAAAGTGTTTGGGTTTATTCACGGTGAGTTGGCTTAACGGGTAGCTTCAATCAATGTTTTTGATCACAAACCTGTAAAATCAACCTTTGTGCCGTAGTAAATCTCATTTTTAACTTTGGTTTCACTATTTCCAAGGTATTTTAATGCCTTTTTTGGTTTTTATGCTAATGATATTTCCATATTCATGAGCAAAACTGTGATGTCATCTCAGAAAGAAGCCTCAATGTTACAATGGTTTGTTCATAAAAAGCTCTGCATTTTTGTAGATATTCCTGGACTAAGTTTTCTCCTCTGTGCAGATTCATGTACATAGCAATAAGAAACCATGAATCTCTCTCTCAGAAATGTTTTCAGTTAGTAAATTCTGGGTTCACAATTTGAACAGTTATACCTATGCACTGAACCATGTCTTCCCTAGATGACTTCACAGCAACAGCACCGTCAGTTTTCCGGGAAAACATGGATAATTTTGATTGTTTATAAGCGAGCACTCTTTGATGCAACCAGGTAGGAGGGTGTAAGGGTTGAAGAAAAGTACAAAGATGCAGAAAAATTGTGTGGTAGAAAAAATTCATCGCAGCTACCCTTTAAAAATTTTTTTGACCTGTTAATGCAGTTTGAAAATGTGACAAAGCCACGAGTTTGACTCCCTTGGTTATCATTGCCAGTGGTTTCCTTGAGACAGCAGGAGCGACAGATGACACGGGAACGCGAGAGGGCAGCTCAGATGATGCAGACGCAGGAGGAACATTTCCAGCTGGAAATTGATCGAGTCACCTCCCAGCTGAGGGAGGCTGACAAAGACAGAAACCTACTCATGGTGGGTAGCAGACAAATAGGCTGATTGGCACATTTCTGTGGTCTTTAATGGTGCTGTCCTGGTATTCC